CGTGGAAATTACATTCCCTAAAAAAAAACACTTTTTAAGACGAACTTCATTAATTGTATAAAAAAACTTTCGAAAAACGAGAAAAAAATACAACTAATAATTTTTTTTTATGCATAAACAAGAAACGTGCACATATCTTTATAATGTATAATATATATATAATAATATACAATAATATATAGTAATGGAAATTATTTGACTTCGCATTATACGGAGAATAGACGGAAAATTAATAAATTTAAAAGAAGGGTGATTTACGTTCTCGTAACTATTTATGTATAAAAAATATTGTTTAGTTTTGTATCGTAATTCATTTAATGAATCACAAATGACTTCTTATACACTTGTATAGTAAATTGGGATAAAAAAGAAAGACAAATTTGACAGTTGATTAACACATTAAAAGTAAAACCAGAAATCAGGAAGTTCCCAAAAATTAGAGACAAAAAACTTGTTATTTAATATAATAATTTTCAATTTACTTTTGTAAATTTAAAATATTTACACTTTAAATTTTTTTTTTTTTTTAAAAAAAAAAACCAAGTGAAAATAAACTTACACAATATAATCTTATATCTACATACATTATTATTTATATTATATTTATTTATTGATGCATGCTGCAAAGTAAATCGGGTGATCATCTCCAAATAAAATTTTTAATAAGTTAAATATAAAAATTTTAATTTCGCGATCGAAACACGTTAAACACGACACGTTAAATATAATTACAGCGTACAAGTATGTCCGACGTGTTCACTAATAAGAAATTCGCGAATATTAAAAATAATAAAATTACAATAGATGAAGCTAAGCAAATATTGGAAGGACAAGTACGAAATATTGAATAAATTATATTATATTATATTTATATCATTTATTGAATTTTAAAATGTATAGATAGATAGATATATATATATATAAATTAATAAATAAATTATTATTAATTATTTTTATTAAGACAATTTCACTACAAAAAATTAATTCAGAAATTCAAGAATGCAAATCAGAAATTTCTGATTTAAAATTTGAATGTGAGAATTTAGAAAAAGAAAATGAGCAATTAGAAAAAGAACGCGAACATCATGAGGCACAAGCCGCTCTTATTGTTTCAAGGTTAAGCGATAAAAAATTACAGGATTTATGTAGATGGTTTGTACTGTATAAAGTTATAGAAATTTATAAAAGTTGATTTTTTAATTTAATTTAATTTAATTTAATTTAATGAATTGTGTAAATTATTATTTAAAAATCAAGGCATCGTTCTTCGATACAAATTTATAGCAAGTTGTTGGATATCACATTATCACCAAATATTGAAGAGAATTCTCGAGAATTTTAATGAATTTAAGGTGAATTAACTGTTATTACAATTGTTATTATTATCTTTTTGATCTTTTTTTGTTGCCTTTAGTTCCTTTAGTTAATCGTATCTAAAATAAAATAATTTATTATTCATAAAAAATATATGAGAAAGAATAATAAAAAAAGGAAGAATCTCGTCTCGTCATACCTGTTTATCTCTTAAACTCATTTTCTTTTTCTTCAACACATTTTTATGTACTACCATCATGAAAGCCTTACGTTTCTTTTTTTCTCTATTAGTGGTACTTGTCCCTTCAACTTTCTTGCTTTTATGACCAAACTTCTCACGACCTTCTCTTCC